AACACTACAGGACAGGAGATGTTGTGTTGTCACACTACAGGTGTACATGGTGTCTACATGTACATGTAGGCATCAAGGGTTCTAAGTAAAAACAAAGTGACTTGCAGGCTTTGATAAAAAATTGTTAAAAAAGTAGCCACAGAGCTCAAAATACACAGCACTAGAATAAATCAAAGTCAAGTTTGAACACTTTACAACCTAAAATTGGTATTCATATTCTCCAAACTGTTCTTTTTACATTCCCCCTGATAGTAACAAGGAGAATTTGTTAGACAATCAAGAGATTCCTAAAATTAGTGATTATTTCATTTATTTCCACCACTTTACATACATGCTCATTTGATTCGTGGGTGATATGTACCAAAGAAGACATTAGAAGACAGTCACTCAAATTACCATAAATTTACAAAAATTATCTGTGGCAAACCTGAGTCGAAGATTCCATAAAAACAAAGTCCTTTCTGATGTACCAGAGTACATCTTTAGAAATGATTTTTCCCTGTGGATATATCCAGTAAAACAAATTAATTGATAGAGTTCAACAGGAGAACAGAGTTATCAACTGAAGCAAACATGGCAACCAACATCCAAAGTAATTGCATCAACCAGTAAACAACAATACTGTCAAAATTTTAGTCACCAAATACATATTTCATTTGCCATGGTGACCAAAATGGTTCCAACTTTGAGTGCTGAAAGCATAGAGAAAAATTATTGACACATGTGATAACAAACCTGGTGGAAAATTTAACTCCAAGTTCATCTTCATAAAGGACTGTATCAAGTGTGATAAAATTTTTGATATACACATGGACAATAACAAATTCACCCTGAAAGAAACAGAATTAGAAAATGCAAGTCAAGACAATTCTTGTTTCAAAAACCAAGAAATTTTGGAAGGTTGAAAACAACAAAGATACAGGTGTATGTGACCAAACAACATACAGTATCACTCTTCAGTGCTGGCTCTTGTCAAGCTCTACAATAAGATATAGTAAAACCCTGTACATTCAAACTCCCAAGTGAAACAAAGAAAGTCTTAAGTTAGCTTATAGTAAATGACTGGAAAATTTAGTCATGGGAAATCTGATCTTGAATGTGTTACCAGGAGGTTTGTTAGCAGGGTTCTACTGTTGGTACCACTGTATTGTTTACAAATGCATCCAGTCAAAAAACACACAGTCATGGAACAGTGACTTGTGATACTCAAGCAAGCCTTCTTTCTCTTTGGGTTTTCCCTCCTTTCTTTTCTGTCCCTTTGCACTTTCTATTTTATTTCAAATGATAGTTTGCTTAATTCCCTTCTAAAATTTCCAATTATTTTCTTTAGGCTAACTACAGAGTGATGCAGGTAGATATACAACAGTTCATAAATATTCTGTGACGTACACACACATGGGCAATTGTATTATTTGAAAATACACTTTGCTAAATTAACGAGAAGCAACATCAGGGACTTTAAAAGTATAATCACAAATTATACCATTGGACCATAAAGACACTGGTAAGGGTTTTGATGATGGCATTTACCATGTTATGAAAAAAATTATTAAAAAAGCAAAATATAAGTTTCTGATATTCCTACATAAGCCAAAGGAAAATCCTTTCAAGGAACACAAAAAATGCTGACCCTACATGAACTTTGAAGATTGCTATATTCAACTTAGCATGCATCCAATAATTGCATATAACTGTAGAAGAAAGAAGAGGAATGAGGAAAACTTCAGATTACAAGATATAAGAATCTGTGATAGTACCTTTTCTTGGTGATGAAAAAGCTAATAAGGAAATTTTGGAGACCTTACTTTAAAATATGATGCCCACCTTTCTCTAATGGCACATTGCATGATGTTTTTCTCAATCAAAAAAAAATTCATACAGTGTATCTTTGCCCTTGCTGTGTAGTTATCTTACAAATTTAGAAAATGCAACTGAAACATTGCATACTGGAATCAGTGTATCTATGCCCTTCCTGTGTTGTTATCTTACAAATTTAGAAAAAACATCTGAAACATTGCATACTGGAATCAGTGGTACATTGACAAACAGGAAAAAATGTTTGGGTCCTGGTTAACACTCCATTCTTCCTCAAAAACATTTTTTTTTTAATTTAAACCCACCTTATCATACCAGTCATGCTTCAGATGGGTTAGGTCATATGTATCTCCTGCCTTTTCTGCACCTTGATATAAAAGTACCAATAGTTGGTTAAAACTGGTGTAACTAGTAACTTGTATCCTTCTGATACAGGTTAGTGACACATCTTTACTTGCATAACAGTTTTCAGCTTATAAACCTTCCTTGTTCATATGCACAAAATGTGAACCCTAAATAGTAAAAAATCCTTTCTTGCATGCATTCCTGATGAAAATAAATAATTAAGATTTTCAGTCACACTTGTGTCAAAGTACATAGAAACTGCTGGAAGATCAATGTGATCTTTAAGCTTCATCTGCAATTCAATGTCAATTTTACATTCAGAACGGATTCTTCATTATACTATTGACTCGTGGTGAGGGACTAACTTTCAAAAAATACATAAGAAACTAAACATTTCATGAGAAACTAATGGAAGATCAATGTTATCTTAAAGCTTCATCTGCAGTTTGATGTCAATTTTACTTCAGAACGGATTGTTCATGATACTATCAACTCGTGGTAAGGAATCAACTTTCCAAAAATACATAACAAAACTAAACATTTCATGACAAAATACAAATGAAAATAACAGTGTACATCTCAATAAGCCGTTGATACCCTAAGCAAAGAAAACCACTTATTTAATATACATAGGCAACCAGGTTCTTAAAATAATGGCAAAAAGAGTGACACATTTGGCAGAGAGATTGACGAAAATTTAAATATACTGAAAGGAAAAGTATGAATGCAAGGTCATAGGTACACAACTTCCGTTCGGGATTCATGACAGTTTTCTGACAAATTGTAAACAAACATTGCTTTCAATTAGTTTACAACAATGTCTCATCCACTTTTACTCCTTACCTTCACTTTCTTTACTGTTTTGATCTTCTTCAGCCTGAATCTTCTGATATTTGACCTGATCTTCCGCAGACGAATGGTCAGAATGCTTACATTTAATTGCCATTTTACCGCAAGCAGCTCGCTTACGTCTGGCGCGGACCGAAGAGTTCTTGATGTTTATGTGTGAGTTCGTCGTGGTAAATCGTGTTTTGAGGAATTAAACAAATAAATGTATTAATTTTTTTCCAATACCTCAAGTTGCTGGTTCATTCACAGTCGTTAAGGAGTTCTAAAACGCGAATAAAACGAACCCATTCGTCCACTGAACAAATGAAAACTTTACCTCTTCTGAGCCCGCCGTGACATCATATGGGCACGTGTTTGTATCACGCATGCTCAGAGTCAAATTTCTACCCATCATGCATTTTTAAATGTCTGCACTTCGCGCATGGTAAAGGCAGGGAAATAATTTCGCGTCCAGTTTGGAATACTTCCATTCCTATCAGTTCCCAATTTTGATTGTCTACCTGTTTGTGTTCAATCAGAGGGTTCTAAGCAAATCTACCTGCTGTAATCATAGCCAGCGGAGCTTTTAGATTGCCTGTTCCGGTAGAGGTAGGAAAATTGAACTACCAGTAGACAACTTATCTTTTTTTTCAGCTTGTGGAGATCCCTCGTGCCCTCAAATGTCATCTGTGTATCATTTTCATTTAATATAATTTGTTTTGTTTACGTAATTGTTTTACTTTTCTTTCTTCAACTTCTTTTCCTTCGCTTTGTTCATTTTTCCTGTTTTTTTGTTAGTTTGTTTAGGGTTTTCTGTCAGGGTTTCTTATATTCTTTTTTTGTTTTTGTCTTTTTTGTGTCTTATTTGATTCCATTTATTCATTTATCTACATATCAGCAGGGTGGCAACGCGAAATAGACAAAAATGAATTCCTATTTTTTGCGATAATTTCGCGAATGGCTGCATAGTGTTTATCGCCTTTTATGGCGCCCGCCTCAGTTTCGGCATAATATGTGAGAGTGGCGTTGTGTTCCAGCGGGAAACTGGAGTAATATTGCCGTCGGGGTTTCCGTTCTCAGACCGTGCACATTTTTTAGATTTCACGTTGATGTTTTGCAAAAGACGGTTATGAAATTTACAAAGTTTGAGAACACATGTGCTAAGCTATTTGCTCTGCCCATAAGATTTTTGGATCAATATCACTATCTGGGCGACTGCCCACCTACCCCTCCCCTAACCCAACAACAGTTAATGTTGGGTTAGGGGAGGGGTAGGTGGGCAGTTGCTCAGATACTGATATAGATCCAGAATTTTTCTTCTTTCGCTACGTCTTCGTTTCGAAGAACCCATCGAGAGAGTTTGGAAAACTACCATGCACGCACGTCAATGAATATTCAATGTTTAATGACTGGTGAATAAGATAAGAATATAAAGCTTCGATATACTCACATATGAAAGACACAAATAGTGTTTCCAATATCAACTAAGTTTGCCACGTCCCTTATTCGAAGTCTGCATTATATTAGGAGGGTGTAAGTTTCTAAAGAAACTGTGGTGCTGCGTCGGTGGGAGAGTATAACAGGGTTACGTTATCAACTAGGTTGATAACGTATATTGGCCACCGTGAAGGGTTTAAAAGATGCGTTTCGAGCGTTAGCCCTTCGTCAGAGAGATAGACAAAATTAAAACAATCGCGCTGACGAAAAGCTAACGCTCGAAACGTCAACTTTTATAAACTCTTTACGGTGGCCAATTTACGTTGTCAACTCAGTTGATAATGCTAAATTACCCTGCATTTCATTATATTGACATATTTCAGGCAATGCTGCCCTTAAATTTCCCTACAATTGATATTTTTACAGATATTAAATGTCTATTAATCTGTATAGTTAGTCATCTTTTTATTCATTTATTTATTTATATTTATTTTAAATGGAACCTGCATTAAACGGTTACCCACGGGGAATAGCAGGGTGACCGCTTAAGACAGGTTCCACAGATTAGGCGTATTACAAAAAAAAAGACCCCGATGAAAAACTCCACTTTATTCCATAATTGACCACTTATTTTGTGCGGAATCTCGCTTACTTTGATTCCGGGGGAGAAACATAGATTGAAAATTACTTGGAATATTATTCTTGAGTGTTCTCGCTTTCAGTAACCGTTTTAATACAGGTGGAGGACGATAAAAACAAATCGTTATGACTTAGTTAAGGATGACTGCAACCACTTCATAGAGGTGACCGCTTAACTTGATCAATCAGCTTAAGTCCAATCAGCTGGGTCCTTTCCTTGTTTAAAGTTGTCTTATGCCTCTCTTTTTCACAAGTCCACTCAGCTGAGTGGTTTAAAACTCGGGTTCTGCCATTGACTGATGGGGCAAATTAAGAGGAAAAGCTGTAGAACCCGACCGACCCCGCTCTTGACCCTTTTTTCCATCTACTCCGGCGTGTCTTGAACTTGCGAGTGAAGTTGTGTTCGTCGGAATGCTTGCATCGATCTCAGAAACATCTTGACCACACTTGATAATTTTTTTGATGGCATGGCGGTATTTGGACAATCTCCATGCATAAATGCATGGATCAAGAGCAAACTTCATGACAAGAACATCAAAAGCAAGCGCGGTTGCGAGTGACAGTCTCAACTGCTGATCGAAAGGTAGAGAACGAGTATCGTAATACTTATAGAGCCTGAGGTTCCAAAGAATCATTGAAGGTAGAGTAAATACAAGAAAAAATGAAACCAAAAGTAAATTAGCCGCGGTAAACTCGCGTTCTTGCTCTCTCCTACGAGCCCGTGCGGCCTGGTTTTCGTCCAGTGAGCTCACACGGCTAAGATGTAAATGGTAAGCTCGGTAGAGAAGTCCATAGCTCAAGAGTAGTACGAGGGCAATGGCATTGGTGTTTAAAAGCACATCTATTTCCAACTTCAATCTAAGAGGGACGTTATACTCAGGAAGAAGCGAGAACAAAACTGAATATATCACTATAACAATCAAAGCAGTCATTACGTTTCTGTGGTTGACAATGGAGCGGTGCTTGTGCGGAAACGATATGGCCACATACTGACAAAACGTTAAGGCCAGTAAAATCAGGAAAGATGCGTTCATGGTAACAAAGGATATGTGCGAGGTAAAATGTGCAAAGTCCATAACTGCTTTCCTTTTGTCTGGATTAAGATGAAATTTAAGGTAATGTCCAATATAAATATAAGCTGTCAAAGGTTCCACAACGGCACCAGTGAGGACATCCGCCACTGCAAGACCCACCACAAAGAGAGTTGTGGGTGTTCGGAACGACCTGAAAGGGTCTTTGATGATAGCCAAGAGAAGCAGACCATTTCCATTTATCGTAAGGACAGCGATAATCGAAATATAGATTCCAGATATCAAATGTGCAAGATCTACAGTGTTCACGAGAGACGCCAACTCCGGTGGCAGAGGTGGTCGTTGTACATGAGTTGTGTTATTCATCTAACTTTTGTGTTCAAAACCGTAGTACCGCACAGTTGGCCTTTTCCAACCGGTGATCGTTTTAACTAGTTCTTCACCTCTTTTATGTTGATAAAGTTGTTTACACAGCTTACATAACTTCTTCCGTCCGTCAGTCATAAATCTTCCTGTACAATGATTCGAAAGTCGGATAGATAAATATCATTTGATGAGTTGGTGATGTTGTGTATTTAGGTTGGCCAGAATTCAAAAGTTCCTATCAAACGCTGCCTCTGCCCATACAGCTGCGAAATTTGCGTAAAATAAGATTATTCGCAATTGAGAATTGACCTATTTACATGCACAAAAGAAAAGCTCTACAATTGAGAATTGAGCGTTTTATGAAAAACAACAACAAAAGAAAAACAAGAAAAAAACCTTGGATCAAAACCCACGATGTGACGCAGTAATTACATTTTTTTTTCTTTTTTTTGTGTTGCTTAATTTGCTGTGAAAATAGAGAACCCAAACTTGTGCCAGGTCAAGAACGTCTTCACAATTTCCTTTATTTTTTAATCTAAAAGACAAAAAATATCATTGAAGTATTATCTGTCTTACTAATACTACTAGCAACAATAATCTTATTAGCATTTTTCTTTATCTAGGTGCTCTCTGATTCTGAGGCTTTCCAGGACAGGGCTCCTCCAGAATTGGGTCTTCAATTTTCCACCCTAGACCATGTAAAAGAAACTCGACAGATCGAAGGCGGCAGGATGTTAAAAAAGCTAGTTTAAAACATGTTTGCGGGGGAACCGCTCAGCTATCGATCCAAAGATGTGGAATCTCAAAGTTCAGAATACAGAGTGCTGTTTAAAATTGGCGAGTACCGCTTTGCCATATTTTGGCTAAAAGCTTTTGAACGTATTTTGACGTGCAAAAAAGTAGCCTCGTTGAATCAGCTGTTCAGAATGTCAGGTCTGGATTTGATATTAGATCATTTTCAAGACAGTCCGCTAAGTTTGGGAAATGTATTTGTTTTAGAGACCGCTTTTAAATACTTTTATCATTTTCAATTCAACTGAGGTTGGCAGACTCTCTTGTAATGGTCAAAAAACAGTCGTTTCATTTTGTTCTTTGTTTTACTTTGTTGTTTTTTTTTCCCGTACGTTTTGTATTGCACTCATGTCGTGGCTCTCGTCAAAGTGTTGCAGAAAACAATTCAACATTTATACTATTAGGCGAACCTTTCCTTCCACTTTCCCTAAGAAGGAAAAAAAATCATGTTTTGTGATACCATTACTATACGAAAGAAACTCGATAGGTAGAAGGCGGTAGGATGTTCAAAATTGTAGTATGCAGGGGAACCGGTTGGTCATCGATGCACCGAAATAAAACCTCGAAATTCAGAATGTTGTTCTCTAATTGTTTAAAAGGAGACAAATAACCGATGTACTGTGTACTTTTGAGGTAGCTGTGTTCCGATAAACTACACACAATTCAAGAATTTAAACACACTTTTGGCCAAACTGTCTTTGGAAAATGTCAATTAATCCAAACAACGTCTTTTTAAAATCGATGTAAAATAAATGTTTTCCATCCCCATTCAATTTCCCGTTCAGAAGAAGGTAAGCATCTGGTATTAAAGATGATGACATGTAGAAATGTTTGGTTTAAGATGGAATACGGTTTCGCGGCAATTCAAAAATAACTTGATCAGCATATTTTCACAGATATGCAATAGGAAGGAATATAGATTGTAAAGCTTATTTCGTGACAATGATTTCATACAAGTGACAAGTTCCTGGGCATTGGAATTTTTTTTTTTTCCAAGCTCTTTCTTTATCCACCAAAAAGGGTAAGAGCAATGATATTACCTAACCCTTTACATTCTAATTCGATCATCCTTTTACTTACACCTTGAAAGTTAACTTCACCAAAACGTGTGTTGTCGATATTTTTATCGTTTCGGCCTTATTTTTTTTATTCCGGTTCTCCTTGATTGTATATCAGATATAGGTGTCTCATATTTTTCATTTTAATCACGGGAAGTTTAATTAAGGATACTCAAAATTAAGGAAAGAAAGAGTACTTCCCAGATTACAATAAGAACAAAGGAAACTAATTCATCTGCCTGGGGAAATTGATTCTATAATTCTTTCCGCCCTCTCGATTATGTAAGCAGAATCTAAATGAAATTTGAAATTCGGACTGAGCTTAACATTGTGGTAGATGATTTTTGAATGATCGACGTTAGCCTAAAAAAAAGACTGTGAGCAGATATCTTGTAATATTATCAGTTTCTCCACCATATCAAGACAGAAACTTCACGCTCGTGAAAAGAAAGAAAAGTTTCCGGTCATGTTTCTGTCCAGCGTGTTCATTTTATTCGCAGTTTTCAAGTATGGCTTTTGGTTTCTAAGTTCCATACGTGTATCATAAATAGGAAGACAGTCGATTGCATTACATCTTATCTATCGCTTTGAATTTCAGCCTGATCATGAAAGAAGCCACCGTTTAACAAAAAAAAATTGATTATCTCGCTTATGTTTTAAACTTACGGTTCTTAAAAAGGGTAGTTGGATTAAGAGCAATACTAACCTGAATTTCACGGTAACTGAAACATTGAATTAAATGAAATATTGGAGGGGTTGATCATATACTGTCTCTTAATCAGAACAGCTGCTCAGAGAAGCGATTGGGAAAAAAGCGGAAAAAAAAACTGGTCCTGATTCAGCAAGATGGACAGTCCAATCTACAAATTAAACTTACTTGCAATGGGTGTCGCAGACGTCTTGGCACCACTGGAATCACCCGTTTCTAAGCTGTAAACGTTAATGGGGAGAGTTCAATAACTGATTACCTCGATCGCTTGGTTTTTTATTGTTTTGTTTTGCTTCTTTTCTTCCCCGCTTTTCGTTCCCTTTTCGAAAACGTCATGTGATGGTGGCAGACAAGTGATGTGTTAAACTCTTCCAGAATTGACACTTATTTTATTTGACTCGCACTGTTTATTTACCGTTATTAGTTTTCAGTTATAATCAATTTGGTGAATACGTGTTTTGGCACTTTGCTCATCACAGCTTAAGATGCCAAAAGTTCTTTTTCGGAATGAACAATTCGCTTGTCAATCTAGTCTAAACATTTCATGATTTGAAAAAGAACATATCTTTGGGTTTTCTGTTTTTGTCTTCTTTTTTTCCTAATGATAAAGAGGATCAAACTAGTCGCAATTATTAATAAACGCTTCGAAAGATTGAAAATCATGACAACTGTTCTCTTTTGTGAGTCATTTCATAGCAAAGTCGATAGCGCCCCCGCAGAAAGTGTATGCTAGCCCCTTCATCTCGTCACACCAACTAACCAATGATATGATAGATGACACGAATACAGTTGTCCTTTATTATGTACACAGTATTAAAGCAGCTAAATTGGCGGATATTCTTTGACATCGTTCACAATTTTCAAATCAAGCACCTGCTGACGTAGAAAAGACACCTTCTTGAAACATCCAAACCACGTCCTACAATTTGTTTGATTACTTTCTATATTTGAATTTCTTATGGTTCTCCCAAAGAAATTGGAATCAAACTAGTTATTGAATTTACCACAAGGTCTTTTATATTTTGAGTCCATGACTTGTAACAGTTGGCATCGGCAAGCAAGAAGGGCAAGTGTAATGTTGTGGTCGTTGCCTAGGTACTTCAACTAAAGCAAGGCAAACTTTGAATTTGCTTTTCGATTCAAACACTAATGAGTTTCGCATGCAAATCAATCTGTTTCTGTTTATCCTTTCAACTAATTTCATGCTTCTCAGAATAAAAAAGGTCCATTGGTTTAGCAATCGATGCTTCGCACGAAGTTACATTCTGAGTATTGCCCGGTGTAATGACGGATCTAGTTTGCACAGAAGCAGGTAACCTGGTTGGTATTATTATTAGGAAGCTTAAGCAGAGACCATTTATGTAACTGGATGTCTGCCAGAAAATAGGATTTTTTCCTCAAGTGCTTGCTTGTGTGTATCATAAAGTTTGAAATGTAAAAATAAAAAGAAACAAAAGATTTTTCAGCTGATTCGTTGATGTCAGCATATGCCTGAAAAGTAATAAGTTATATTCACATTTCAAGCGCAGTCTGTTCCTTAAAAACTTATCTCCTTAAACTCCTCTTTGAGCACCGTACAACTTATCCATTTCATCATTCAATGGCTTGGCTAATGATGGTCCGTATGTAAAAACGACAACTGTCGAAATTAAAAACGTTATGGTAAAAGTCCAGAAAAAAAGTCTGTCTAGAGCCTTCCCAATCTGACGCCAGGTCTCGCTCCAGTCTTCTTCTTCCTCCTTACCGTCAGTGGTGTTGGGGCGAGTAAACAACTGAGAACCGCTGTCCACTGAGAGCTGGCTCAGACTTATTGAGCTTTTCTTGCGGTATCTTTCCTCACTGTCTTCGTGTTTCTCCTTGTGGTCACTGCTGTAGTCCAGCACGACCACTTGCACCGGGGGCTCAACCTTTGAGGTGCGCTTCCTTCTCTTGGGCTTCCGACAACATCTGTAGATATTATTGATAAACAACATACCCTTGAGACAGCCAGGTGGCTGGGTAGTAGCGTGATGTGCCTTGAGTACCACAATGGTGGCGGTCAGCGCCAACGCTATTTCTATCATGATTATGATGTAGTATACACCAATTAGTGGCAGAGAGTCGGACTGTTCGGGGAGGGCCTCTGTCACGATCAGAAGGTAGACGCTCACAGAGAGAAGGATTGTACAACTGAAACCGATTCGCTCCCCACTCTCTACAGGAATAAAGAAGCTGACAAAAATCAGTGCTCCGATCAGCATGCAAGGCACCATGGAAAAAACAACGAAGTGCAGTGGTTTCCGGCGGATAATGAAGCTCAGGTGTATGGCGGTGAAGGGGTGAGGAAAACCTTTGCGATAATGTTCTTTCCTTCTTACTTCTATCCTCTGAATTGACCAGGAGGCACTCTTTTCAATCTCTTCTGTTGGAACGAAAGCAAATGTTATGTAAGTGGAAAGAGAGTACTTTGCCCCGAATATGTATATGGAACGCGTTTCTGGAAGTATTGAGACCAAACTAAGTATCTTTAAAGGACCCCTGAAAAAAACTGGCATGACATCATGATTGTGGCAATACCTGGAAAACAGTGATACTCACAAAACCGTGATGAGGTAGGTGTATTTGACTACAATAATATAGGTTACTTACTTTATTTGCTTATTTATCCTTTTCGTACAAAATTTTAAGTTTTTGTTTTAAAAAAGTGTTTTAAACTTTCATCGATGATGTTATTGTTAATTGCTAAGAAACTCCTTAGATTCAATTAAAGTTCATTTTATTGACGACTTGATGAATATCTCATTGCACATTCTCTTTCCAAATATTTTATTAGGCCCTCTCTATACAGTCACCAACTAGTTGAAATTCAATTTCTATTCTCTGGGTGACATACCAAATTGTCCGTCCTCGTCACTCTCTCGGCCTTTCCTCGTCTCTAAATGGACTTCATCTGTTTCTATATCCAGAAGTGTCTTGTCTGATGTTAGCGACCCAAAAATCATGTCACAGCGATGTTGGTCATACGGAAAATACGTGACATCGAGGCTACAAGTGCTCTTGAAGGACACTGGGGAAATCCAGTCACTAATGCCATTGTGGTAAATAACTATCCATGTCTTGAATTTCTCTGTGTATCCCGCTTGGGCGACATTATCATCTGCACTGTAAATCAATGAATGACCCGTATCCATAAATCCATCCAACAGTTCATTTTATCGTCCTTTCGTCAGTCATTCAGCCAGTCAGTCAATAAGTTACCGAGTCATTTGGTCAGTCAATCAGTTAGTCGATTACGGTGCCGGTCTGTAAATAAGTCAATCGGTTAGTCAGTCAGCAGGACATGAGCAAGAGATCGATCTATCGCCCGATCGAACGATCATCAGTCAGTCAGTTAGTTGGTTGGTTAGTGTTTGGTTCGCCGGTCAGTTGGTCGGTCAGTCAGCTAGGTAGACAGTGAATCCGTCAATAACAGGAAAGGGAGGTGAAAATTGGGGTGTTTACAATAGAATAGAGAAATTGTCAGATTTGAGTGAAATAGTCTATTTACAGTTTCAGTAATGTAATAGATAAGAACTTTAATACTGACACCACTATTGACTCAAAGATCGACAGAGAGAAAAGACGGAACGGGAACTACAGCTGTGTGTTGTGTAATAAACCAAGTAAAAAGAAGTAGCTTTTGAGAGTGATGGTTAGTAACTGCGAAGCTTAGGAAGCTATACTGTAGTCTGTACTCACGAGCTGGTAGCGTACATCAGCTAAGACTATTCATGATGTAATCTAGTCAGTAGACCAGTGAAATAAATGGGAATGAGAGTTTAGCAATAGAAATTCCACTACATGGCTCTTCTTGTCCACTCTTACCAGGTCGAATCGAAATTTGGAATGTTGGTTATATATTTAGAGTCGAAACTAATCTGTGGTTTAATTTTTATGGTTTTCTACGCTCTGTGATCAGTTTAGAAAACTCACGGCACCATCTCAATAAAAAAAGACGCAATAACAAAATCAATCCCTTGAGTTTTGTGGCACATTAGGCAGTTTGCCTGTTTTCGCTTTGAATTCTAATTGGCCTCTTGAGATAGTTTCCCTTCACGTTGATTGGTATTTGTGGCTTCTTTGCGTTTGCTTAACGACCCACTATCAAAAATTGCTCTATTGACCAATTATAGGTACTCACACCCAGCATGCAAGTAAAAGCCTTAACTCTACATGGAATCACGTACTTGTTGTGTAATACAATGTCAGGTGCCCACATCTCGTTGGGACTGACGAGAAGTTTCTCCACGCCTCCATAAATACTTGGTGTCCACATGAAGAAAGTGTTATTCCATTGCTGAAAATTTGCGAAAAAAAATACTATAGAAGGAATGAATTTTTGGAGTTATTTTTATGCTGATCAAGTTGTTCGTCTATTTAAAAATTGCTCGTGAATGGTAACAGCTACTAAATAAATTGATTCAGTTTGATCGGATCCGCTTCAATCATGTGATGTAAGGAAAAAATCGAAAAATTGACTCTAAAACTAGAAAAACTCCTACAATATTGGTATAAACATCAAAATCTTTAATAATTGGACAGAAATATATACCTGTTTGATGATTGTGTCTGTAGACACGAATTGCCCGTTTTTATCCTGTGAAAAAAGGTACTTTAGTAAAAAGTACAATTGTGCGAAAATTCGCGCAGTACGCGTTATACACAGAAATATAGAGAAGTTTATGGATAAGGTGCGAAGATGTCCGTGTACAAGTAACATTTGTTTTTGTGACAGGTTTGGGAGAGATCCACATGAAATTTCTTTCTAGCTTAGTGTAACTGGAAACACCTCATCCGTTTTCTTGTGTGCACGAGAAATATTTGTTGCGTTTCCAGAGTGAAATCCCTTATAAGATTTCCCTTATGTGTAATGCATAAGGCCTAAAATGCACAACAAGTGTAATTGATTTTAAGATACGCATTTCACTTCAGGAAAAAGGAAAAAAAATACACAATTCTTCTTTACTTTCCTTAGAAGCCCTCGTCGAAGTCGTAACGATCATTTTAATTAATAGTTATTATTACTTCGAGATGAATGGACCTTACCACATCCACGACAGCTCTCAACTCCACCTGGACTCTCACTTTAACTTTTTCCATCGTGTTTAACACAGGTCGAATCATATGATTAAATGAAATTCCTCCAGAACTTGAAAATAGATCTTGCCGGAGTTGATGTTCCTTTGACACAGTTGTCCTCGGCCATCCTGCAGCGCATCCTAAATGGAGAAAAAGGGGGAAAAATTGTGACACTGAAAACTCTGAAGTATTTCAATTGGTTGGCCTTCAAATGTCCGGGATGAGAATAGCTTTCGTACTTAGAAACCTTAAGCTTTATTCTTCAGGTCTACTGCCTACGAGTAGATTTGCATTTTGTTTTAGTTTCATGGAAATAATTGACTCACCGTAATTCAAGTGAAGGAAATGTTTGGCAACCTCAATAACTATTGGGCTCGTTAATCGAACTCAGTCGTGCATTCAGTCATCAACAGCCAGGCAATCGGAGACACATCGAACAGAACGATGCGGAAATCTCATCAAACAATGTAATTTAAAGAATGACCTGAGTAAGGTCTGATCTGTAATCAACACTTTGACTTACTCTCTTTTGCTGTACGTTACCTTTTATGCGGTACACGGCTAAGAAGTCAAACAATCTAACTCATAAAGAATACAATTAGTGATTTTCTAAAGGAACCGTAGAAAACTGGTGCGCACCCACCCACGCATTCCCTACTTCGTTCGAACGAAGGAGAATTCAAGCCGGCAAGACTGAGGTCCGTGTCGTGCCAGAACCCACGCAGACCTTTCGTACGCTCACGTTGCTCGCCAGCCAGAAAACCACCATGTGATGAGATAGATTAATGAGAAAGAAGATGAAGTTTTTAGCGCAGTTGTTGTAAAAAGAAATTTGCCACGAGTTTAAGAGAAAAGAAACATTCCTCTTCAGGTTTCTTCGTTCCAAGCCTTTGACAAATGGCTAATACATCTCATGATGTTACTCAAAATTTACCGTTTTCATTGCTTTATTTCCATTAGCCACCGGAAATCCTTTGCCATCAAGTTTACTCATGCCACCAACAAGCAGCTTACTGTTAAGCGCAATTCTATGGCTAACGAAGGCTTCTGACTGAGTTACACTTAGTAGTCATTACAAAGCATTTAAAATTTGCTTATAATCGCTTACCTGCCTGGTAAAGGAAAATCAGAAGAAAAGGTACCAGGAAACTGAAGTGCATTATCTCAGGTAATTTCTGAGGGTTTTGTTATCGATGAACGTCCGACTACAGGAAAGGGCCAAACACTAAAATGATCTTGAATAATTTGAGTAACTGCATTTTGAGTAATTGTTAGCGTGGATAAACAAAGCGTGCTTTATTATGCCAACGGCACCGACCGAGAAGCTTACAAAGAGAGTTCATTAGGAATTTAATTTCCCTAGAGGAACAAAATTTGGAGTACATAGATTTAAAACAATTACTTCTAAAAACTACCTGATAGCGAATATCAGTTCTCTCAGTGAACAATTCGTTCTCGGCTCGACCCGTTCGTTAGGGATTTTACAAATTTTCTTTAATTTTTTAACCCTTTAGCCCCCAAGATCTGATTGTTAATTCTTCCCTAAAACTGCTATTCATTTCCTTGTAAATTAGTTACAAGAATTTGGTGTCAGATCAAGATGACAACTTCTACCTGAGAAGTTTGAGTATTCTCTTGAGTTAAACGGTTAATATCAAAAGTGAGCCTCTCGGCAGGTTTATCTCGTACTGAAATGTAAACAGATCTAGACCTCGTCATGACAGAAGAAACCAATCACCTTCACTGAAAATTTTCATCGGAACCAACAAATGTTCCCTATTTCAGCTCAGGTTGACTTCCATCAAAGAGAAGAAATAGAAGAAGAAGAACAAAAAGACGTCGAACAAAAAAAAAAACTCTGGGGTATCAAGGATAAGAATACTTGTCTCCAGTCTATTTGAAGGAGCAGGGTTTTTTGATGCTTCGGAGAACAATTAATCATGCAAGTTGAAAACTTCACTTCAAGTAATGGTTGCCGTCTTTCAGAGGGTCTCAATGGGGTTAACCTTTAGCCGTCAAACGGTCAAAAAATTTAGCCGTTAGGAGTAAAAATTGACAAATTTAAACGGTTGGTCGTAAAAAAAGTTAACCATTAAAATTTGTCATTTAATTACAAAAGAAGTAAGTTAACCGTTATCAGCCGTAAAAAAGGCCAAAATTTCAACAGTTTATCGTGTTACCAGCATACGTGGCTGTACTCAGTACTATTTGTCAGCTTGGAAATAGCATTTTGATTCTATCGGTTAAATTCACTCAATCAGCTCGTTCTGTTCGCACCGCTGTTCGCCGGATTGCCACCACCTGAGAATAGGACTGGTTTTACAAGTTCAATTCTACATCTGTAAAACAGTTAGTCTTTAAAAAAACTGCTTACAACTGGACAGACATTATTTGATTATTTATTGAACACCAGAGCGGACTTCGCCCAGCAGTTTCCAAAGAGGTCAATTGAAATTACATTGACCGAGCGATTAAAGCTTTCCTGCGTGTGCGTAAATTGTAATGGAAGAAGACACAACCAGCGCCAAAAACAACCAGTAGAAAACACGGTCGAGTGCACGAGCGATTTCCTTCCAAGTTTCTTGGTTGACTTCTTCTTTAGAAACCGAGGTGGGTGGTGTTTTCTCCCCGAGGGTGTCAGCTGAAGTCTGCCCATCCACCTCTCCAAGCTCCACATCAACAATTTCCTCCATTGCAATGCCAGTGGTATTTACTTCCCCAACTTCAGGAGATGAATTCAAATTAGCGTCATTGATACGTAGTCTTCTTTTGTTTCTTCCGCAGGAACCAATCCTGTTAAACACTGAAATTTGAAAAACAATGAATGTTTTTGCTTTTTGTTGAACCGGCGGTGAAGAGCATATTTCCAAATATGCTCTTCACTGAAAACCTCAGGGCATTCATGTCGTGGTGGTTGATAAAACGTTCATCGTTAAACTCAGCTGTAAACAAAGGCCGTGACCGAGATCAATTGCCTTCCATTCAATTGCAAAAGTGTTTTAGTACAAAGTCTGTCACTGTTTTCAAAATAACTGTCTGTGTTTATTATTATTATTATTATTATTATTATTATTTTTATTTTTATTATCGTTAATGCTTCGAGGAACTTCTCAGTATTTGTGTCCTCGGTAGGAATTATTATTATATCTTTTCTCGCCGAAATCATCGTCGAAATCGCACATGATCCTGATTACTTCACCTTGTCATGAATTACCATTAAAATTGCTATTGTCGCTTATAGACTTGGTGTTAACAACTTTCTAATTTTCTCATATGGACTGATTATCAGTTATTAACCTTACCTGTTATCCAAGTCAAGATACGGGGTGGCTCGGAAGTGGCGTGGTAAGCCATCATGACTACAACTGTGGCAGTCAGCGCCAGACCGATCTCAACCATGGTCGCAATGTAGTAAACACCAATAATGGGCAACTCGTCGGACTGTTCGGGAAGCTGGTTTACGATGACGAGTAGGTACACGCTGACTGACAACAGAATCGTTGAGCACAGTCCGATCCTTCCACCCACCTCATTGGGAATATAGAAACTCACGAGAATCAGCAGCCCAATGATCATACAAGGAACGATGGTGAAAAGGATAAAGAACATGGGTTTACGTCCAATACGAAATGATACTTCAACTTTGCTGAATATCGGTGATTGCTTCTTATCCTCGGTCTTGATCTCAATGCTTCTCAGAGACCAATAACCATTAGATGTGGTGAGGTTAAGCTCTAAATAATAAAAATATCAGAAAACTAAGAATAATACACAACTACTTTCCATGATGTTTTGCAAAGGCAAGAGTTGATTTGAGTTAACTTGGAATCCTATTTCTTCAAATTTTCACATAAATATTTCCATGTAACCTTACCTTCCTCAGGATTATCGTTTTTGATGTGTGTGGTATCGATATTTAAAAAGGTACGGTCAGATGTTACAGAACGAAAAACTAGGCTGCACTTCTGTGTGTCAAAGGGAAAGTTCTTGAAACTAAGCCCACACTTGCTCTTGAACGTTGCTGGGGATAGCCACGTGTTATGTCCACCGCTGCTCACACGCACCCAACTTCGGAATTTTTCCACGTGCCCCGCCTGAACAACCCCATTATCTGCACTTGAGGTGGGAAAAAATGGATATGCATAAATTGTTCGTAACCTTTTGACCTGAGGAACTAAGACTACATAATGGGCACACGGACTAAAAATTTTGTTTAAAAGCTTCTGAGCTGGCGTCTAACCGGAGCCAGAGAGGAACGCTTTTACTACTTCATCACTGTATGCGTGTCTTTTTAGTCTTAATGAAATGTAAAATGCTACAATAGAAAACTTGGGCGCTCATTTTGTAGAAAAAATTCATAATTGCATAAGTGGTAAATAAAAGACACTTTTTCCCTCCCCTTTTTTAACTTGTCTGAGCATGTTATCTTCCATTTTTTCAAGTCGCAATTCGATGGAAAACAACCCTCTAGTCTATAACTTTTTAGAATATTTTAAATATCTGTATGTCATCAAAACTGAAAAATAATTGGCGTATTAAGGCTCGTGTTACTTGGCATAACCACTCGGGCATTTGGATCTTTTCTGATCCTTTTTTTCGCAATAAATCATAATCTCTTGTTTTATTAGGATAGTTTGTTACTTAAAACTTCCAAAGTGTAATGACTTGAAATGCCGCAGAATTCAACTTACTTGTTTTCTAGTACTACATCAGGCACCCAAACTTCTCTTGGATCCACAAGTATTTGTTTCAAGTTTCCATAATTCTCGGGAGCCCAACGTAGGTAAGGATTATTCCATTGCTGTGGGCCAAGGAATACAATATATAGTAATACTTCGTGTTAGTAGCTCGTGTTCGGTTATCACCTTTTTTAGTTTTACTCTGTCTCCCGCTAATTACAATCTTCTAACTGAAAAACCATCACTTTAGACAGCTACACTGTGGCTTCAATTACTAATTTTGTCAACTTTTATTTTCTATCTTACTTACAACTTCGTGACTTAAATTCTGATCTTTGAAATCGTATTACTAACTGAGGACTGATAACTGAGAACCATCACTTTAGACAGCTGCACTATGGCTTCAATTACTAATTTTGTCATCTTTTACTCTGTATCTTGTTTGCAACTTTGAAACTTAAATTCTTTGCAACCGTGTCACTCTAAACTGTTTGTAACAAGCTACCAAGCCAGGGTTAAAATTTGCTTAATTTTTTTTTTTTTCGATAATCTTACTAACGATAGAGAAAGCTAGAATAAATCAATTAACAGATTTTTCCTCGAAAAGATTCTGAAAGGCGTTGTAAATGGAATTCAAGCGCATTTTAAGGGTATTTTCGTTCGAAAAACTCGCCTAGTCTTTCGCTTAGACTAATGGCAAAGCCGGTGTGTATTATGTCAAACTTGTTCCTGCGGCTTGCGCAGTCTAAGTGCGTTTGCTGGAATTTTTCTCCAGCATGTCCCTTCGACTTTTTCACGTAAGTGACGCAGATTTTAGCGTAATCCTCGCACAATTTTCATTTGCAGTTTGAATCAATTTTCTCCTCTTTTGCTGTCTTTTTTTCTCAAGTTGAGTTTTCGTTACCTTCTCCGTCAATTTTCAGGTCTGCTTAACTATTGTTCAAAGTTCTTCCCCCTAATCTAAGATGATTCTTAACCACACTCAAACAACTCAAGATTTTACTCTTGACGTATTAGTATTTTTTTAGAATCAAAAATTCGCTCTTAATTTCACTCTAACAAGTTTCCTTCTCTGAGGATGTTAGAATTATAAGAAAAATAGACTGAAGAAGATGCGCTGGCAACCCTAAATGAAAATTTGCCATAGCAAATACTAATACGGTTCCCCTTAAATGCGAATTCTACTTTCGAGTGTGACGGTAGAAATGATGTTAGGGCATATAATTATGGGAAAAACATTGCGTGAACGTGAAATATGCTCTTCTACTAATGACTACCAATCATTCATTCTTTTAAGGGTAATCCATTGACGCGAAAGCAGCATGTGGCGAAGGTTCCATAAATAAAAAAAAGTTAGTGACAATCTCCGAGCGTTAGTAAATGTCAAGTGCACAGCGTGAAATGTGCTTTGAAGTAAACCTAATCAAAGCTACAGAGAACGATAATCATCCAAACAAAACTATTTAACACGTTAGGACCATTATAGACTAAACATTTACTTTTCTCATACAGAGACATTCTACAGATTAAGGCAAATTTCTGGGTTTTCCCGTTAACAATCGAAAAGTTCGAAAGCTAAGTGAAGACACAATGTTTTGTTTTACGCTAATAAATATGAAATGTATCCTACTTACACACCCTCGGTCCTTATCGATAAAACATATGAATAAATATCAGAAAATCGCTGTCTTTTAAAATTTGTGCATTTTCGAACTTAGAGAGGTTTTGTAAGGAGATAGCCGAGGTTTCATACCCTCCCTACCTCTTTTTTATACGATTCATAACAAGAATTTGATTTAATAACTTCAAAACTGCCACTCGCGGTTCATGTACACACTAGCCATACAATAAAAGGTTAAAATATCCAATTGGCCCTTGGTTAGGTTACACTGTCTAAAATTGAATCATAGCGTACCTGCGTGATCACCGTTTCTGTTGTGATAGTTTGTTCTTTATTGTCCTGTGTGACATGAACATATTTGGTATCAGGTGAGAATATTTTACCTTCAAAGGGTGATTGAGAGTGGAGGCGCAATTGATGCAGATACTAAGTTACATTCATGTTAAAAGTTGAGGTTCAAAAATTATTAGCCAACCTAAAAGGTACATTTCTGGGAACAGTTATATTGTTGATCGCGTATCTGTATTGTAACAGAATTCCCACCCATGACGAGGTAGCAGTATTTACAGTATGGAGATATATTCAAACTAATCTTTCCAAGAGTCAATGTTTTATTTTTTTAACTCTGATGTGCTATTCAGTAACACAAATTAAAAAGAAAATAATAAAAAGACCCATATAATTATCCTAAACTAATAAATGTGAGTAATCCCACTTGGTGTGGGGCTGACGAGCATATAACACACCCCGTGGCAGCATGCGCGACTTGACGTGGGTTTCTCTGTATTTCAACTCTACTGGGGAACCACAAGAAAATAGTGTCTCTATTTAAGTCTTCACATTCTTATATTAGCCTCAATGGGTTCTGCGATACAAGTTGATGAGGAATGCATTATCTGGAGATATCGTGTAAGATTTCGCTTACCACTGCGTTGAGAGCCAGGAGCTGCACATCAAATTTGACTTTTAAAACATCTGACGGCTCCAACACCGGACGTACCATTTTGTCATAAGAAGAAAGGAGAGCCTTTCTTAGTCTATACTCTGCTGAATGTGTTATATTGTTTTGTTGTCCCGCCACTGCTAAAAATAAATAACTAACAGTTATAAAAGTTCATAATGATTTCGGTTTACTGCACTTTTTCTTTGACGAATTCAAACTGCTACTCTGCGGGCAAATCAGTTGTACGAAAGAACCACCCAATTATCGGTTAGCTTTATGTATCCTCTAGATTTTAACTTATAAAGTTCCAAGTGCAGCTTTTCGGTTGAATTTTTGCTTCAAATTAGTCATGAGATTCGGAACATTGTATTATTTGTTCAAGGTTAGCTTGCACCAAAGGTCACTTGTTGATTGCTCTCAGAAGCGTACTAGATTTCAGGTGCCATCATGCATCGAAAAATGATGCACTTTTTTGACTAATGAAGTCTGCTTGCGTCAATCCTTTGTAACGACCGGCTTAAAGGGTAACTGACGCCAAAATTTTCCCCTTTTTTTGTCCCGCTACATTCCTCTTAGGTTAAAGAATACTGAATGAGCAAATAAACGATATATTGTGCAAAACCAAATTTTCTACAATTTTTTTTTGACGCTTAATGAACGGCTATTTTAAAACGTTCCGATTCAGGTCACGTGATGTGATACGTCACACATGTGTAAGGCAGTGGAAAGCGTCATGTTAAAACTTAAAAAGTAACAACTTCGCCCTCGCTGTCCAGCCGCTGACGGAATTTACGAGCGGAAAAAAACATAAGATTGTTCCGTTCTGATATAGGCCACCATTTAGAGGCTATGAAATACGAAGTTAGCAATAAAATAACGAAGGTTGAATAATCGAAACGCGACGGATCACATGTCTGTATTCGGAGCCACAGGTATTTTGCACGCCATTTCAAACAGCTGTAAAAAAATATATTCCCATAATTTTTTCGTCTTATCCATTATCGAGTCCTATACTCAAAGAAATAGTTTTTAGTCCATGCCGAAAAGTATTTGACTTTAGATTTTGTCCGGTGTATATCACTGTGACCTCAAGCCCATCGGTTCTGGAGTGAGCGTGACTAAGCGCAAAGTGTTGTCGCGTATTATGGGAGGTCGTCATCTGGTTTCGTGAACGAAACTCTTCTTCCACGTTCCGGAAATGTACAAGAATTATCCTCTATTTTTAACGGAGACTAGTGAGCAGCACAAAGGAAGACTTCTTGTTGCTGTAACTTTTTATTTATTTCTTTCGACGCGTTTCGTCTCTGACTGTGAGTTCTCCAGGAATGATTACAACTAACATTGAGCAGCACATATAGCACATTCGTGTGCCTATTAAGTTTAATCAACTTCCAATTGAAGTGAATAATAACAGAAACATGCTGTAAACGGATGTTGCAAGAAACGCCTCGTTATGAGCGCCACACTCTAGCGTTGTTTCTCATTTGCGACCGGAAACATGATGAAATCAATCCTGTCCGAAAGGTTAATCGTTTCAAAAATGTACCACTGTCAGCTGAGTAACGCTTCTTCTTCACGCTCGTTTATCGTAAATAAAACAAGCCGACAGCCTGAGAGAGGAAACTATTAGGGCACATGTCATGGGACTGCCTAGCTTCCACCGTTTAAAACGCAGTGCTTTGGTAGAAAAAAGAAACCGAGTTAGCGACAAACTCGTGCTACGGAAATAACAAGCACATAATGTTTCTCAAATTACGACCTGAACTTGAAACATATGTATATATGCATAAACATATATGTTCACCCTCAAGTTATCCAAAACTGAACCACTCTTGGCCGCGTTGACATCTACAATATGGACTGAAAACAACAGGATGTAAAATAAAGAAAACGAAAACCAGGCAAGCGCTGTGTACATAGTAATGTTTTGTAACAAAAAAAAACAAAGCCAAAAAAAAAAAATGCAGACTGAGTCAGCTTTCACCAGTTTCCTCAAAACCTGGGTGTTAGACAATACATCTGGCTTCTGCCTGCAACTGTTCCACTGTAACATCCTCCAAATTTTTATTTTTGACCCCATCTACTTCCCTGCAGAAGATGTTTTCTCTCTCCACTTTGATTGGCAGTTTCCACACTGACACCTTGTAATAAAAAAAAAAAAAACAGTAAAGTAGCATTTTCTTTCACGATGTTGAGTAGAAGAAATAAATAGCACAACTTGTATGATTGGTTTCATCAAAAGGAACAGTTATCAGCTCTGTAACTGTCACAAACGTTAGAGATAACTCAAACTTTAGGCCATTAACAAGGTGCAAAGACCACAAGTAAATAATAAGTTAATATTAAGAAGATGTTCAATACTACATTTACGAATGCTATTTTTTGCTGCATCGTGTTTTGAAGTAAAAGCCGAAATATCTTTAATCGTTCGCCAACTTCAACACAGGAAAACTTAAAACCGATTCAATCGCGTGGAAACGTGTATAATCCATCCAATTCAACTCCACATGCGTGTATGTTTATATTTTCAGTCAGTAAAACCTTAGTTTCAGAAGGTGCGTGCGTGTAGCACATGTAGCACAAAAACACTTCGCTCCCATGGTATTCAAGAGTCTGCACATTTGGTTTTCTTTACTTGATCGCTCCTACATTTAATAAGCGAATGATTTTCAGATACTTTATTTACAAGCGTAAATGCACTCACCATTCTTGGTTGAGGCGGCCGCGGATCCTCTTCTGACTCTCGCACTCTATTTAGGTTCGTCCTAGCGGTTCAAATCGCGAGGACCTGATTTAACCGACAGATTCATGAACCCTTCCATTATGTACACCTTCCATCGAGGCCTCAAAATCCGAATAATCCGAACTCGACATAGAATTGCTTTCACTCGAACTACTATCCGCCATATTTACTTTGCTTAAGTTACACACGTGTGACGTATAAGGTCACATGATCAAAATCGAAGCGTTTACGGCGAATGACTCACGAAGCTGCATTTAGGACAGTTTTCCCGGCGAAAAAAGGCACAAAGAGGCATTTGAAGCACCTTGTATCTGTTTCAATGTGTTACCTGAGGCACTTAGACGGTATTCCCAGAAAATTGAGCTTTTAGCTGTCAGTTATCCTTTAATTAAGTAGTTACTACATCGAAGTGGTAAAAGGCTATCTCAAAACAATGGCTGTTACAATAGTGCCACATCTCTAAGTTGTCGTATCAAATATGTCATGGAATTTGATAGTAAGGGTCAATATAGCTTCAAGTGCTGCGGGTTTTATAAGTCATTAACATCTCCAGGAACTTTGCTGTTAAGTAAATTTCGATGGTATGCTTCATCTCACAAGTGTGCGTAAGGCGGCCTTGCTAGCTGAGGTTGTTCCAAGGTGACTTAGTATAGGACGTTTTACATGGACGCACGCGCAGGCAAAATTGAAAATTAACCCGGGCGAAAATGTTCGCCGAAGCTTTTATACAGCCTCAAAGTACGATACATAACTGATGGACCTAAGATATCTGGAGAATAAGGATAAACTAGGGAACATACACCTTTGGATTGCTGTGGTCACTATTTCTTGAAAGATCAGAATGTCGAATGATTCTCGATCACTTCATAATCAAGAACGATGTTTTGAACAAGTTCTTAAAGTGGTCGATAATAGCAAAGATTTAACGCGATGTTTCTCTAGAAAGAAAATTTGAAAGCAAGAAAATCCATTTCCGAGACAACCGTTACGTTAAAAGCGATTGTGAACGAGGAGTATATATAGACGTATTTTGACATAGCCCAGTGCAGTGCAATGATTCCTCCTCGGATAAAGACAAAGGATTAGTGCCTGAACTTAAACATAAGGAGAGAATCACAGTCTTGAGTGGCTCGTGCCCTGAGTTTCAATAACTAGTACTTTACCGAGATAGGAGTTTGAAAAAAATAAGCACTATTTCCACTGTCTTGCAATCACTACCACGTATCCTTTTGGGCAGTTACAATGGCAGTTACCACAGCTATAAATGTAGTACATGCAAGTAAATTGAGCTGAGGGTTAGGGTTAAATTGCAGCCACAGTCAGTCAGTTCTAAACTGCAGTTGACACAAAATGCGTTTAATTCGTGATTGTCTTAGCCTTGGAACCAGTGCGGAAGTTGTTATTGTCGAATCTCTCGATCTGTTTTCTAACTTTAAATTATAACGTCTTGAACACACAGAATAAATCAAGCCTCTATTTTAACCTTGGATGTACACATTTCAGCTCTAGAAGTAAGAAAAATACTTACCAGGCGAGTATGCACAAATAAACAATACAAAATGAGCATATTGGGGCCACATCTTCCTTTGCCGTAACAAACAGAAATGAGACGGCTAAACCTGAACGCAGAGAAAGAATAACCGGCGCACCTTAAATCTGTTTTGCTATATCATATATTGTTTACATAGCAACCTCTTGACACAAAGCATTACTTCTGGTTGTATCGCTTCTGTTCTGCAATAGTTTGTACCCTCTCAAGACGGAAAATTATTTCAAAAAGTGGATGTTTTCATTGTTTTAGGATGTTTTTGGAGTGTGTTGGGACAATCTAATTTTTATTTCACAACTGTTTCAATTCTACTTCATAACTGAAATGCGTTCAAAAAAAATCATGTGCGCCATGATGTCTGAGAAACCAAGCCAACGCCATGACGTCTGATAAACCTCAAGCCAACGGCTTGAGGTTTATCAGACGTCATGGCGCACATGATTAAATTTAAACACTCTGGGCACAGATCCATAATCCACGCGTGAAACAGGAAAGGGTTTCGGAATTACGACTACTCGTTGATGTGTTAAATAATACTTATGAATGTCTGCAACAGCGACTTATAAAGAACTTTGGAGAGTAAAGGGAAGTGATCGTGAAGAAAAAATGGAAATTAGGTGTAGAATGAATTACTGTTGGCACAAATGGAATGTCACAAGTGTTGTTGGTTTTCAGAGTGCAGTACGGTATCAGTATATTAAAGGGCCCATGATACCGAGGCATTAACATAACGCTGGAAGGAATCAGGGGTAGAACGATCGAGTATTTTTAATAGCTTTTCTTTGATTAAAGTAATGGTCACTATAAATGATGTCAAGGTCTTCCTTGAGATGTGATGAGCCAATCATTCCAGCACAACCCTCAGTTATAGTTTTTATCGTTGACGAACGATTCCCAAAATTCTAATCTTGTGAAATATTTCGTGAATCACTTGATTCGGTTAAAATGCAGCTAGTGAAGCATAAGAATGGCAGGTATCAATACATATTACTTTGAATGATTTCGACGACTACGTCGTAATCATCCAAATTAATTAATATAAAGGTGGTCAAACATATTCTAACTAAATTATGTCGTCATTGGCGTCGTCAGTAAGAAGCCTTTTGGTCAAGGACGTGAAACAACGGCAAGTTCCAGACACCTAGAGGAGGTCAAGCATGGAAGTCAGAGAAAATTGTATTCTTGCTGAGGAGAGGTTGTACTGAGCATTAGTACTGAGGACAAAATAAGTTTGGGCGTCGAGAGAAAAAGATGTGCTTAAAGACAAGATCCATGACGCGTTTTGTTTTTCTGTATTATGTGACAACTGTATCGTTGAGTAATTTACTTCTATAATCAATTTCTGAGAGAAATTAAATGAGAAGAAGTGCGCACAGTCCACTTGATGAGATGATTTTTAGTGTACACGTCGAGAGGCATCTTCCTCAGAAGTTGACGAACAGTTGTGGACGAAGTGGATGAAAGGAGCTTGGTGACAGTATTCTAGAAAGAACCCCTTGGAATTTCATGGTATACCGCAGGAAGTAAACATGTCAACGGGTCAAGTGGTATTTAAAGTTGCCTAGGCTGTTGAGGTCTCACATAAAACACAAAGTAAGTTCCATCAGTCTTAACGAAATTTCGAGAGTCACAAGGTAAAGGCGAAGATAAACAAGCCCGCACCAATTGAAAGACTTCTGTGTCTGTTCAGAAACTCTGTTGTATGGGGTTCTTTGTTTAGCGAGAAGAAGTGGAACGCCCGAAAGAACATACATCAACGAAATTCGACCCTGTATCCCAGAAAAATTATGAGTCTGGCAGTTGAAAAAAGACGCAATGTGTGATCACTTGACGGAAGATTTTCATTACAATGTCCCCAACAGGTAACCCACGTCAGATGAACTCTCTGGGGGAAATCACTGATGGAGCTCTGAGGAACTGATTTTATTTAGAAGTTACAGGGGAGAAAGGAAAATTCGCGTAAACAACACAACAACTATGAGACTGATAAGCATATGAACAATTGTAATTTTTTTGTGCATTTTTCTTTGTACGATCGCCTTTACGAGCGAATACCTTTAGGTATGCTTTTGTTTTCTAAGGGTGAGCACACCAGGAATATAATATTTCATCTCAGAAATGAATGCCGCGTTGTGCAAGAAAACAGAAAGTTAAATTTGTGTCTTTAAATGTTAAAGGTTTGAGAAATCTTCGCAAAGAGCATTTACGGGGGTAGAAAGGGTCGAAGAAAGGAAAGGTGGTAACGTGAAATGGAAAGAAATTCAGGTTTGAAGAAATGAAACAACTATCGAAGATGTGAAGATGAAAGCGATCTTTGCAGTAATGAACACTACCTAAGTAGTAGTGAAAAGAAGGCCTGAAAAAATTCAGGCCTGTACGGGATTTGAACCCATGACCTCTGCGATACCGGATCAAATCCCGGCCTGAATTTTTTTTTCAGGTAAATACAACTGCATTTAGTTGTAGTGAATTAAAGCACCCCTGTGCAATTTATGCTGACTATGCTAGAGCTATCACTTAGCGGAGAGGATAAAAAAAGAACCCATTAGACAATTGCCGCGTCAAGGACGAGGAACGACCTTTTCCCATCAAAATCAAGAGCTTCTTGGAAATTGTAACTTCAATTCAGTTACTGATGTTATGTTTAGTATGAAATACACGGCGAGGTACACATCGTTTGTAACAATGATTCTGAAATTACATTGCAATCTTTCTCGCATGGAATCGATCGATAACGGTGTGATTCTAAAATTGAACAAGTCAATGCCGATAAAGAATGGGGTCGTAAAAAGCTGGTCGTCATTATTGATAACCGAAACACCATTTGATAGTTTCAATCCTACCCCCTTCCTCTCTCCCATACCTTAATCTCTTACGTTACGTTAGAGCCCAAGGATACCAAGATTGGGTAATTAATTTTTCAACAAGAACTTATGGCTCACCATTACGCAACGTGCGACTATGAATATCTAATAAGTCAGATAATATAGATTAAGCTGGGCCCTAAAAGTGGGGTTCCAGTGACTTAATTCTTCTGCCCTTCACTTCATCACAGGCTGTTGAAGAGTCTATCTATATAAAGTTATGGGCCAGTCAGGTAGATGGGAGGGAGTAATTGTATGGTCTATCAAAGAGTGGGGGATCCAGGGAAAAGCTTGCATTTCATTTGCTGACCTGTCTTCGAAGGGTCACATTCGTCAGTATTGTTTATTTGTGTATACTCACCTGCTATAAACGTCTAAGGTGCCCTGTAATTTCCTAATTGTAATTTTTTGAACCAAGATAATTTGAAGTTTTTCAATCGAAAGCGAGTCTGTTCTCGCAGACTGAAACACCTGTTGTAAAAAATTTCATTCAAGGGTTTGAAAAGAAAATTTTTGTAGAATTAAAATTTTATTACCTTTTCTACGAAGACGGCCACATCTAAGGGTTGGGTGAAATGACATAACTGTGTTGAAAAACACCTCTTTCTTTGCCCTCACGCTGATCATTTGATCACAAACCCCAGACAGATTAACTTGCACATGAATACTGTATCTTTTAAAAGTGTTACCTATTTCTCTATTAAAACGAAACCCTGGCTTCGAAATCCTGACTACTCATTCATAATGCTCTTGCAATTTCGCCTATTCCTAAAGATTTGCGAAGCAGTTTTTCTTCACTGAAAAATGTTACTTGATAAGCAAAATGTTTATTATGAAAATTCTTGAAGGCAGTGTGTTGAATCTATATTACAAAAACATTCTGAGACTCGCGCTCAGCGTTGTGTTACGATTGTTGTTTCGAAGTTATTTTCCTCAATCCTGTTCCATGTTTTTTTCGTGATAAACACCGGAAAATACCTGTAAAATGATGATTGATATACTATTGTAACTGGCCATTCCTACATATTCGTTGGGTTTGAAATTCAAGCTCGTTTTACGTGGAGCTCAAAACGAAAAATGAAAGGGTATATATACATAGATCTATGGGGCAGTTTAACGAAAAAACTTTCTCTTTGAACGCATTTTTATTCTTACAATTTATCAGACCGCCATCGTTTTAAAACCCCTATTTTTAATTAGTTTTTTTTTAGGTGACTAATTTCTTACTAAAATCAATAACCTGCGCGTAATACAATACAATACAATACAATAAGAGTTTGTTGTGAAAATACACTTAGCTACAATAATGGTGTGCTTTCACAGACGGAGCCGAAATCGGAGTCTGTGAAAGTACGCCAGCTAATTTACAGGTATTCCACAAACACAATAAAGTTATGAGTTAAAAAAAACAAAAAAAACAAACAAAAAACAAACAAAAATAGATATTGAATATTCTATAATCTAAAATTATAACAATAAAATCTTAATAAGTATATCTTATATCTAAATAAATACTAAATTCAATAAAAAAGCGTCGAAATTATAAAAATTGCACTAGGTCAACTTGGCTAATGGATCTCTTAAAAGACTTAAAAATTCGTTATATATTTCTAAACATGTTCGGAATAGAATTCCAGAGTTTCGGACCAATATAACGGACTGAGTTCAAGCCATATGTAGTAGACTTTGGCTTGGGTAGCGAGAGGATATAGTCACCTCTTAAATTGTAGCTAACGTTCTTCCTATGAACTATCAGGTCTTGTATACTTTTGGGCGCTAAAGAATTGTGGACGGCATTAAAAATAGACAGCGTGATTTTAATTAATCTTTGTTGTTTTAAAGATGAGAGGCCTAATGCGTTGAGAAGTTCCGAGTAGCTTGTGTACTTATCCCTGAAAACAAACCTGATCGCGCGCTCATTTAACCTTTCCAATTTGTCTGTAGCACTTTCACTACAAAAATTCCAGGTTTCACTGCAATAATTGAAGTGAAGAAGGATAAATGTTAAATATAGGTCGCGCCTTGTTTCGAAGGGAAGCATTTTCTTCATTCTTTTAAGAAGAGCTATTTGCTGTGAAACTTTCCTACATATTTTAGCAACATGATTGTCAAACTTCAGTTTGTTATTTATTGTTTCTTTAGTCACTGGGATACTGGAATTTTCACACTTGAAATCAGGTATGGCGTCAGATTTTCCCATCACAATAGCTTGATACTTAGAATTGTTCCTTT